CCGAAGCCGAAGTGCCGGTTGCTCTGCCGCTTCCCCTTGGAGAGCCACCTGCGCGATGGGACGCGTCGTCGGGTCCGCCGCCCGTCGGGGACGCCGGAGGCACGCACCCCGCCAGCGCCGGCTCGCCGCCGGTCTTCGCCAGCCCGTCCTCGTCGCCCCCGCTCCGGCGCATGGCCGCTCCCGACGGGGCTGCCCGCACCGATTGCGTCGGCGGTTTGGGGTGGAATGGCATGAAACGCGGGCGCGACGGCAACTTTAGCCAAAACCGACGATCACGATGGGCAGCCCGTAAGCGTCTTTTTGAACCACATGACCGGGGAGGACGCGAAGCGGCTCATCAGCGCCGCCTACAAGGGCGACGCGGCCGGCCTGCGCGCGTTGCTCGCGGAGGGCTGCGACGCGAACGCCACGGATTCGGTCGGCTGGTTCGCGCTGCACCAAGCGGCCTGCGGCGGCGACGACGCGAAGAACGTCGAGGCGGCGACGGTGCTCCTGGACCACGGCGCCTCCGTGGACTTGCTGACGCCCCAGGGCGAGACGGCGGTGATGGCCGCGGCGTTCCGAGGGCACGCGCGCGTCGCGAAGCTGCTCGTCGAGCGCGGCGCGGACGTTTCCCGCAAGGCCAGCGACGGACCCTGGTCCGGGAAATGCGTGGCCGACATCGCGACCGAAGGCTGCCGCTACAAGGTCATCGACGTCGCCGCGCTCCGCGCCGTCCTCGCCGCTTTGGAGGCGACGCCGCCGCCCCCGCCGCGCGACGGCGCCGCGGAGCCGCCGGCGCCGCCCCAGGCGCCGCCCGCGCCGACTCCGGCGACGGCCAAGCCCGTCGCCGCGAAGCCGCCGAAGCCCGCCGCCGCGAAGCCGCCGAAGCCCGCCGCCGCGACGCCGCCGAAGCCCGCCGCCGCGAAGCCGCCGAAGCCCGCCGCGAAGCCGCCGAAGCCCGCCGCCGCGACGCCGCCGCCCGCCGCGGCCGCGGCGCCGACGCGCGCGGCCATCCTCGCGCCGCGGCCGTCCGCGCCGGTCGACGATGGCAGGGATCCGGTCGAGGCGGCGGCCGCCGCCGGCGCGGCCGCGGCCCGCGAGGCGCTGGATCGCGGCGAGGAGCTCGCCGCGGCCGCGACGAGCGCGGGCCGCGCGGCCGCGCTCGAGGCCCGGCGCCGCGGCCGCTCCATCGCGGAGGCCGCGCGCGCGTCGCAGCGCGCGAGCGCGGCGGTTCTGCGCTCGGGCGAGGGCATGGACGGCGCCGCCTTAGGGGCCCCCTAGCGGCCGTAGGACTGCTTCTTCGCCTTCTTGTCCGCGCGGGAGAGCTTCTCCTTGGGCGCCTTCTTGCCCTTGTCGACCTCGCCGCCGGACTTGCGGTTGAGGAGGTCGAGGACGCGGCGGGGCATCGTCGCGACGAGGCCGTCGACGTCGTCGAAGGCGATGGCGAAGACGGGCTTCGCGCCGTCGACGGCGCCGAGCTCCTTGGCCGCGGCGCCGGAGCAGAGGTGGGACGCGATCCAGGCCGTGCACTCGAAGGCGCGGCCGTCGAACGCGGCGAAGAACTGGACGTCGCCGTCGGCGAGGTCCTCGTCGCGCGTGCCGAGGTGCGCCGGCGCGGACGCCCAGCCGTCGCCGTCCCGGACCTTCGTCCAGGCGCCGGCGTCCTTGGACTTGGTCTTGAGGTTCTTGACCCAGCGCTCGAGCTGGCCGTCCTCGGCGACGCGCAGCGCCGCGTTGCCCCGCTGCGCGTAGTCGCGCGGGAACCAACCGCCCGTCTCGGGGCAGAAGAGCATCGTCGTCCGCTTCCGCTCGTCCTCGGCGTCCATCTTCGCCGCCGCGTCGGGGTTCGCGAGCCGCAGGGCGGCGTCCGCGGCGTCGACGGCCGCGGCGCCGGCGGCGAAGCTCAGCAGCGCCCAGAGCGCGGCGAAGAGCCGCGCGAGGCCGCCGCCGCCGCCGCCGCCGGCCTCGGCCGAGTAGGGCCGCAGGAAGACGAGGACCTTCGTGAGCAGGGACAGCGCCGCGGGCGCCGCCGCCGCCGCGGCGGGCGCCGCGGCCGCCTCGGGCTGCGGGCGCGGGCGCGGGCGCGGGCTCGGGCGCGGCCGCGTCGTCGTCGTCGTCCGCGCCCTTCTTCTTGCGCGACCGCTTCTCCATCATGAGCCGCGCGCGCTCCGCCGTCGCCTCCTTCTCGCGCTTCTCCCGCTCGGCCTTGAGGCGCTTCTCCTCCTTGGCCTTGGCCTTTGCGAGCTCCTTTTGGTAGAGCGCCTCCTCGTCCTCCTCCTCGGCGGCGGGCTCGGGCGCCGCCGCCGGCGCGCCCAGGGAGGCGAAGTAGTCCTCGTCGTTCTGCTTCGCCCGGTTCTTGCGGCCCATGGCTGTTGTTGCTGCTGCGACTCCTACGGCGGCGGGTTCCTGGCGCTGCTGGCGGCGCTCGCGGTCGCACTTCGGCGGCCTCACACCTTCGCCTCCGTCTCGAGACCTTCAAGATGCGCTTCAACATGAGGCCGTCGCAGCGAGATGTCGCGGCTTCCACCGGGAAGCCGGCCCGTCCGGGAGACAAGCGCAATTCGATCAGCGCTGTACACACAAATTACGCCCCGGCATTTGGTGTGCAGAGTACAGTACAGTTGGGCGCGTCCGCCGCGGCGAGCGCCGCGAGCGGGCGCGCGAGAAGAGATGGGAAGGGGAGGCGGCGTCCTAGCGCATCATGGAGGTGCCCCCCTCGAGGGACGTGTGCTGGGCCCAGTCGCCGGGCGACGTGCTGTAGGTCGCGGGCGGGAGCACGCCGCCGTGGCGGTTGCTCGCGAGCGCCTGCCACTTCTGCCACTTCTCCCAGGAGCCCGCGCCGTTGCGCACGGGCTGGGGCGGGGGCCAGGACATCGCCGGCTCCTTGCGCGGCTGCTGCGAACCGCCGACGTCGATGGCCTCGGCCATGACGCTCCGCGGGCTGTCGTCGGTCTCGTCCGCCGCCGCCGGCGCGTCGTCGCACGCCATGGGGTCGTCGCGGGCGTCGGCGGGCGCCGCGGCGGCCGCCTCCGCCTCCGTCGTCGCGAGGATCTCGAGGAGATTGTTCGCGGAGCGGACGAGCGTGCCCGGCGACGAGCCGTGTCGCGGGATCGCCGGCAGGAGACACGTCCCGTCCTCGGGCACGCGGCCGAGGCACCGGTAGAACCCCGTCGGGGGCGTGCCGCCGTGGGGCGCCGTGTTCTTGCGCTTTTTGGTGTCTGTCTGGCGTCCCCCGGGGTCCGAGCTCGACCGTGGTCTCGACTCGTCCATCGGCGACGGTTTCGCTTTCGTGTGAGGTTTTGGGGGCTCGATGCGGGCCCGCTCTTCGGGGCGACGCGGCGGCGGGTCGGGCCGAGGCGAGGGGAAGGATGCGTTTCGTCACCGGCGGTCACGGGCCGGCGCGAGACGCCGCTGTTCTCGACGACGTCAAATCATGCCGAGCAGGCCGCGAAGCGGTCCAAAATCAAGTTCACTGAAACATGACGTCGCGAAATTAATGCGCGCGAATGCGCGCGTCGCTCGACGTACATTCGACGTCGCAACCCAACGGCAGGACGCACGTGTTCGTGCAAGACGCGCGCGAGCAGCCGCGCGCGCTTCTCGAACACGCGCCGGGATTCCAACACCGCCGTGCTTATCGCGGCCCCGCGCGACGCGTCGCGTCCTCGAGCGCGTCGGCGAAGACCGCCGCGGCGTCCGCGGGGTCCGCGGCGGCCGCGGCGTCCGCGGCGCGGAGGAGCGCCTTGATCGGCGCGGGCGCGTCCGGGACGTCGCCCAGCGCCGCGACGTCGACGCCCGCGGCGCCCAGGACCTCGGCCGCGTCGTCGCGGCCGCCCAGCCGGGGCACGCGCAGCACCTCGTCGAAGCAGGCGTCGAGCGCGGCGTCCACGCCGGGCGCCGCGGCCGTCGCGAGGACCAGCAGCCGGTTGCCCGGCGGCGGCGGCCGGCGGCAGAGCGCGCGGAGCACCGCGAGCGCGCTCCCGTCGCCGCCCACCAGCGCGTCGACGTCGTCGAGCACGAGGATCGACGCCTCGGCCGCCGCGGCCGTCGCGAACGCCGCGGCGAGCGCCGCGCCGGGGCGCGCGCCGTCGCGGAGCAGGTCGTCCGCGCTCGCGAGCTCCGCCGCGCCCGCGCGCTCGTCGCGGACCGCGTCGCGGGCCGCCTTGGACGCCAGCGCCGTCGCGCCGCAGCCCGCGACGTCCGGCACGAGGAGCAGCGACCTGGGCAGGAAAAGAGAGCGAAATTCCCAACTTCAAAGGCTCCTATCTCGGTCGTTTTCCGCTCGTTTCGGCTGATTTTTGGACGAGCGATCATCTCTCGGAGCGCTCTCTGGGTGCTGTTTCCGAAACGCGCGCGCGCGGAACACTCACGTTGAATCGACGTTGAATCACCTGTTTCCTGCCCTGGCAGCGACCGCACGCCCGGCCGCGCGAGCGCCGCGTCGACGGACCGCGCGAGCCGCCGCCTGGGCAGGACAAGAGAGCGAAATTCCCAACTTCAAAGGCTCCGATCTCGGCCGTTTTCCACTCGTTTCGGCTGATTTTTGGACGAGCGATCATCTCTCGGAACGGTCTCGAAGCGTGGATGCTTTTTCCAGAACGGGCGCGCGCGGAACACTCACGTTGAAGCGACGTTGAATCACCCTTGTCCTGCCCTGGCCGCCGCCGACAGCCGGCCTGGCACGCGAGGTCCGCCGCGAAGCCCCGGTCGAGGCGCGCCTCGAGGGCGGCCCCCGCCGTCGCCGCCGCGGGCCGCACCTCGCGGAGCGCGCGGTCCAGGTCCGCCTCCGTCACCGTCTTCTCGGGCCGCTGGAGCGCGTGCGACGCCGCGGCGCGCACGAGCCCCGCGAGCTCCGCGCCGGAGAAGAGCTCCGTGCGCGCCGCGAGGCCAGACGCGCCGCCGTCCTCGACGAGCGCCGCCGCGTCGGCCGCGAGCGCGCCGTTCTCGCGCATCTGCCGCGTGTGGATCCGCGCGATGGCCCGCCGGCCCGCCGCGTCGGGCCGGTCCACGACGAGCTGGATCTCCAGGCGCCCGGGCCGCAGCAGCGCCTCGTCGATGAGCTCCGGCCGGTTCGTGCAGCCGACGACGAGCACGTTCGGCGCCGCGACGACGCCGTCGAGCTTCGCGAGGAGCTGATTCACGACGCCGTCGCGGACGCCCGTCGTGTCGCCCGTCAGCGACCCGCGGCGCCGCGCGATGGCGTCCATCTCGTCGAAGACGATCACGTGGAGCGCCGACGCGTCGCCGACCTGCCGGTACTCGTCCTCCGCGGGCTGGAACAGGTCCCGGACCTTCCGCTCGGCCTCGCCGACGAACTTGTCGAGGATCTCCGGGCCGTTGACGATCTGCGGCGCGCGCGCGCCGAGCTCCCGCGCGAGCTCCCGGGCCAGGAGCGTCTTCCCGCAGCCCGGCGGGCCGCTCAGGAGCACGCCGCGCACGTGCGACACGCCGAGGCGCCGCGCGCCCTCGGGGTCCGCGCGCGACGCCAGCACGCGCCGCACGATGGCGTCGAGCTGCTCCTCGAGGCCCCCGACGTTCTCGCGCAGGTTCGTCGCCGTCGCCGCGGTCGGCGCCGACGACGCCTCCTCGGGTGTCTCCGCCGCCGCCTCCCGTGTCTCCGCCGCGTCCTCGGGTGTCTCCTCCGCGTCCGCGTCGCCGGCGGCGACGAGCGCGTCCCGGAGCGGCGCCCAGCGCGCGTCGTCCAGGTCCGCGACGACCGTGTCCGCGTCGAGCGCCGCCTTGCCCTCGTCGGCCGCGCCGACGGGCGGCCGCAGCACGACCTCGAGGAGCGCCGTATGCCCCGGCCGCGCGGTGAGGCGCTGCGGCGGCCCGCCGAGCACGCGCGCGACGGGCCCGCAGGCCGCGGACCCGCCGAGCCCCGCCGACGCGCCGCGGAGCTCCTTTTTCGGTCCCAGGGCCGCGAACTCGCCGTCGCGGCCGCGCCGGAGCTTCTGGAGCTCGATTGTGCCGCGGAGCGGCTTGAGCAGCACGTGCGACCCCGGCGGGAAGATCTGCACGACGTCGCCGCCGTCGCCGGTCCAGCGCCGCAGCGTCACGTCCCAGGAGGCGCCCTCGGCGAGGCGCACCGCGGCGAAGTCGCCCGCGAGCGCCTCGGACCAGAGCGCCGCGTCGCCGGCGAGCGCGACGCCGTCGGCGCACGCGACGACGGCGGCCACCTTGTCCGTGTCGACCCAGGTGCCCCAGGCGTAGCGCCCGTCGCCGGAGCTCTCCTCGCCGACGCCCGTCGACTCCTCGACGCACGTCTTCGCGAGCTTTGCGAGCGCCTCGGCGACGCGCGGCGCGCGCGCGCCGCCGTCGTCCAGCTTGCCGTCAAGCAGGAGGCCGTCGCCTTTGTAGACCTCGCCGCTCGCCGCGCGCTCCCGCGCCTCCTCGACGATGGCCGCGCGCCGCGACGCCAGCCTCGCGCTCTTGGCCTTGAGCTTCGTGCCCACGGCGTCCATGAAGGCGTCGTCCTTGGTTTCGAGCGGGGCGGTCCACGGGCGCGTGCGTCGGGTCGGCGCGACGAAGGCGCTGACGCACGTTATGTAGAGGAGCAGCAGGGCCATGCCTTGCTGGCACAATGGACGCGTCATACTTGGTCGAGCGGCACCTTTGCAGGTTGAAGCCGATGAAGGACTCGATGAAGGCCTCGAATAAGCCTCGAAGCCTCCTCAATTCCTCGCCCTTGAGTTACTCCCCGAGGCGCGCGAGGGCGGTGGCCAACGCGCCGGTCACAAGGTCCAGGCCGCGCGCGTCGTCGCGGTCTTCGTCGGCGAGCGCCTTCCAGGAGGCCACGAGGACCGCGTCCACCGCCCGCCACCGGTCGTCCGCCGCGGGAACGGGCGCGGACCCGAGGAGCCATCGCGCCGCTTGACGTTCGGGACGGCTGCCGCGACGCCGCAGCGACGACCCGACGCGCCGCAGGCCGCGGCCCACGGCGGCGCGGCCCCGGCGCAGTCGAGACGGGGACGCGGCCCCCGGCGCCGCGCCGCGCGACCGCGGGCGACCGCGGCGCGGCGTCGGGATGCGGTGGACGAGGCGGTACCACCGCCGGAAGCGCCGTCGTCGACGGCCCGGAGATTTTTCTTCTTGGTCTGGGGGCGCGTCGTCCAGAAGGAAGGCGCAGATGAACCAGGCCGCAAGGATCAGGGCGAGCGTGCCCATGGTGAGGGCGAGCATGATCGTGCGCGTTCCGGCGCCCTCCTCGACGAGGAACTGGCAGGCATGGACGCATGCGGCGACTCTCCCGGGGGCAGCCATGCCGGGGCGGGGAAAACGCCTCGAAGCAGCCCGAGCTTCGGCGCCAGCGTCAACGTCGTGACCGAGGCGCCGAAGATGAAATCGGCGCTTTTTGTTGCGCGGAGCCGCAACACTCGACTTAAACGGCGGATTTTGCGCCGCGCAACTCGACCTGTCGGAGCAATCATGGAGTTTGTCAAGAACGTGCTGCGTGCAATCTCTCCTTTCAAGGGCTCGCGCGACGACGACGACGCGCCGGCGACGGCTGGCGCGCTGAACGGCCTCGCCGCCGCGGCGAAAAAGCCGGCGGCGGCGGCGCCCGCGCCCACGCGCTCGTCCGCGCGGCAGGCGGCCAAGGCAAAAGCACCCGCCAAGCAGCCCACGGTGAGCAAAGCATCGCCGAAGAAGGCGCCGGCGAAGAAGGCGCCGGCGAAGAAGTGCAACCGCCGCGTCCGAACGCCCCCCTCGTCCGCGTCGACGCCCGTCGCGTTTTGTAGGGCCGCCGCCAAGCCCGCGGCCAAGGCGCCGGCGAAGGCCAAGGCGGCCGCCAAGCCCGCGGCCAAGCCGGCCGCCAAGCCCGCGGCCAAGCCCGCGTCCAAGCCCGCAACGAAGTTGACTGCCGCGTCCGAACGCCTCCATCGTCCGCGTCGACGCCCGTCGCGTTTCGCAGGCCTGCCGCGAAGAAGGCGCCGGCAAAGAAGGTGCGCTCCCGCCGTCGCCGAGTCCGTCCGTACGCGCGCCGACTCTCTCACTCGTAGGCCACCAAGACGGTCGCCAAGAAGCCCGCGGCGAAGCCCGCGGCGAAGGCGTCGAAGCCCGCGGCCGGCAAGAAGCCCGCCGCCAAGGGCAAGAAGTGAGCGTCCCGTCTCCCCATGTGACCCCTGTGAATCGCCGGCCGACGCCGCGCCGCGCCCGGCTCCGCAGCGCCTCCGCGCGGGCCCGCTTCGCGGCTTTCGCCCGGCTCCCCCCCCTCCCGCCGCTCTCTCCCGACGAATCGCCGCCGGGCCTCCCCCAGGCCACTTTCCACCCGCCTCCACGAGTAAGCTACCCGACGCAAAAGAAGATTCAAAACAAGGGGGCTTTACTATTGGAGGCCGAACCCCTCGCACTCGCGGATGGCGATGTTGAGGAGGTGGGCGACCTTGTCGGGCGGGTCGTAGTCCGGCAGGAGGAGCGTGTTGAAGCACGTGTGGCTCGTCGGGAGGTTCGACGAGTCGGGCCCCGCGCGCTGGATGCGGAAGGCCGGGTGCGCCGGCGGCCGGAGGGCGCCGAGGCCGCCCATGGGCGCCGTCTTGGACCCCGTCGTGAACATGAGGAAGAGGCGGCGGCCGTCCTCGTCGAGCGCGTCGACCGCGGCCCAGAGCGCGCGGACGACGGGGTGGCCGTCGGGCGCGTCGCCGAAGCCCTCGTAGACGACGACGGGCCGCAGGGCCGTCAGGTCCAGGCCGTCCTCGTCGCCCTGGACCATGACCCGGAGCTCGTCGGGCTCGACGACGCGCTCGAGCGCGCTCCCGCTGAGCACGCGCCAGAATCCCGACGCGAAGCGGTCGAACTGCGCCGCGACGGACCGCCGCAGGCGCCAGTCCACGAGCGCCTCGACGTAGGCGTGGCGGTTCTCCGCCGTCACCGCGATCTCCGAGCCGCCCGGCACCAAGTCGACGACCGCGCCGTCCGACGCGGGCGCGAGCGGGTCCGCGTCGACGAGCGTGCGGCAGAACGTCTCGCGCACGTCCTCGGGCGGTTCGAAGGCCAACAACATGCGCAGGCCCCGCGCTAGGTCGTCGTCGAGCTCCGCCAAGTCGTCGAGCGTGTAGCGCGCCGCGTCGTCGTCCGCGAGCCACGACGCGTTCGCCGCGGGCGACGCGGCCAGCAGCTTCTTGTAGGCCACGCGCGGCAGGCGCACCTCGAGCACGACGGAATTGTAGACCGCGAGACCCACCAGTAACCCCGCGAGCTCGAACTCCGTGTCGTACCAGTCGCACGCGGCGTTGAAGAAGATCTCGTCGCCCGCGCCCGTCGCCGTCCGCGCGAACATGCCGACGATGGGGTCGAAGAGCTGGGGCACCAGGAGTTGGAAGAACTCCTTGCGGGGCCCGCCCTCGTCGACGCCGGCCTCGCCCTCGAAGACGACCTTGAGCTCCTTCTTGAGCTCGCCGTCCGGGCACGCCGCGAGCGCCGCGAGCGCCGTCGCCAGGAGCACGGACCGCGGCACGCGGAGCACGAGGTAGGGCAGCGACGCGCCGACGACGAAGGGCGCCATCATCGTCGCGCGCGCGCCGGCCTCGCCCTGGCGCCGCCGCGCGTCCACGGCGAGGAGCTCGCGCTTCGTCGCGGGCGCGGCCAGGAAGCTGAAGGTCGACAGGTACCACTTGCCGCTCGCCGTCGCGCCCGTGACCTCGCCGGCGCGCGGCGCGCCCGCGTCGCGCCAGCGCATGAAGTCCACGAGCAGGCTCCCGGGCCCCGCGCCGTACTGCGGCCGCGGCTGGTCCCGGGGCTGCCGCGCGTCGTCGTCGTCGTGGCGCGGCGTCGCGATGACGACGCCCAGGGCGTCGACCTCGGGCACGCGGTAGGACTCGAGGACCTCGGACCGGGGCACGCCCGGGTGGCGCCGCGACGCGCGGCGGAGGAGCTCCATGGACAGGCACGCGCGCCGCGCGGCCGCGAAGGCGCCGCGCGCCTTCGGGAGCGCGCCGACGGCGTTCTCCCGGAAGGCCGCGGACGCGAGCGCCGCCGGCGCGTCGAGGACGACGTCGCGCGCGCCCGACATGAGGTCCAGGCTCGCGTCGCCGCGGAGCTGCAGCGCGAGGTCCGACGACGCGGAGAGCCGCACGCCGTCGCCGCTCGGCAGGGACCCGTCGAGGGCCGCGCGCCGCGCCGCGGCGACGACGAGGAACTTGAGGGGCCGCCGGAGCCGCGCGCGGAGCGACGCGCGCGCGTCCGTGTCGTCGCCGTGCTGCGACGCGAACGTCTCGGCCGCGCGGCCGCGCCGGGGCAGGGCCGCGGCGATGACGCGCGCCCGCGCCGACTCGTGCATGGCCAACAGCAGCTCCACCGTGGCCTGGGCCGCCTCCCAGGCCAGGTACGACGTCGCGCCGCGCGCCTTCGATCCCGCGTCGACGGACGTGGGCGACGAGCTCGGCGAGTCGTCGTCGCCGCTCTGCTCCGGGTCGTCGTCGGCCTTGGCCGGCGACTTGGCGCCGTGGGAGCCCAACGCGCTGCGGCCGCTCCGCGGCGGCGCGCAGCCCTCGTCGTCCGCGTTCGACGCGACGACGGTCGCCGCCGCGGCCGCGAGCGCGACGCAGCACCGCGCGGCGTCGGGCGACCGCGCGTCGCGCTGGGCCGACGCGAGGCGCGTCGCGCCGGCCATGATGGCCAGCGCGAGCTTGCGGCGCACCGCGTCCTCGCGGCCCGGCGCGCGGCCGCCGCGGCCCGACCGCGCGGCCGCGCAGACCGCGTCGAGGGGCGCGAAGCAGCGCTCGAAGGCGCGGGCGTCGAAGCGCACGTCGTCGAAGCGCGTCCCGTCGTCGTCGTCGTCGTCGTAGTCCAAGAAGTCGTCGCACCGCGGCGCGTCCTCGGCGACGAACGACGCCGCGAGGAGCGACGGCCAGCTCAGCACGTCCGCGAGGCGGTCCAGGGCCGCGTCGCGCTTCGCCGACGCCTCGAGGGACGCGGCGTCGAAGCTGACGTCGCCCGCGTCGACGAAGCAGACCGCCGCGGCCTCGGCGCCGCACGCCGCGGCCTCGTCGCCGCCGATGGGCCGCGCGGACGCCGCGGACGCGAGGAACGAGTCGACGCGGCTCGCCTTGCGGCCGTCCTTCGTCAGGTCCGTCGCGCCGTCGGCCCAGAAGGGCCGCCCCTTGGGCGCGGGACCGCCCGCGGGCAGCGACCCGTCGGACGCGCGGCAGAGCGCGAGCGACGTGTCGCCGCCCGCGACGACGTGGAACGCGTGGCGGTGCTCCGGCAGGGGCACGACGTGCTCCTCCTTGGACAGCTGGGAGAAGCCGCCGGAGCAGGCGCCGGCCCGGTCCGCGCCGAAGGCCCGCAGACCGCCCGACGACAGCGCCGCCAGCGAGTGCGCGTCGCCCGCGGCGACGGCGACGACGACCGCGGCGCCCCCGAGGCTCGCGAAGCAGGGCACGGGCACGGGCTGGTCGCGCCTGTCGGCGAGGCCGAGCTGGCCCGCGTGGTTCCTCCCGCAGCCGAGCGCGCGGCCCGAGCGCGTGAGGAACAGCGTGTGCGCGCGGCCCGCGCAGCACCGGTCGACGCGGAAGTCCGGGGGCACGGCGCAGCGGCCGGGCACCAACACCGCGTCGCCGTCGACGTCCTCGAGGGGGCCGACGACGCCGCACTGGCGGTGCTCGTCGCGGCCCCAGGCCCAGGCCTCGCCCGTCGCCGTGACCGCGACGCAGTGGCCGCCGCCGCAGTCGACGCCGACGACGGGCACGCCCACGAGCGCGTCGACGCGGCGGCAGGACGACGCCGCCGCCGCGCCGTCGCCGGCCAACCCGACGCCGCAGGCCTCGCGCGCGCCCCACGTGAAGACCTCGAAGCGCGACGTCAAAGCGACGGTGACGGCGTCGCCGCACGCGACGGCCGCGACGACGCAGCGCTGGAGCGCGCCGCCGACGGGCCGCGGCGGCAGGGGCGCGCCGCCCCGCGCCGGGTTGCCGCCGCCGGAGACCTGGCCCCGGTCGTCGCCGCCCCAGCACAGCACGCGGCCACTGCTCGTCACGCACGCGCTGTGCGCCGCGCCGCAGGCGACGGCGACGACGCGCGCGCCCACGGGCAGCGACTCGACGCGCACGGCCCGGGGCACGTGCTCCGGCCGGTTCGCGTCGCACTGGAGCGCCTCGTTCGCGCCGGACGCGTAGACGCAGCCCTCGTCGTCGACGGCCAAGGCGTGGCGGCCGCTCGTCGCGCAGGCGACGACGCGCGTGCGCCGCGACGCGAAGCGCTCCACGGGCCGGAGGGGGCCCGCAGTCTTCCCGTCCTCCTCGTCGTTGAGGAGCGACGCGCGGCCCCAGGAGAAGAGGAGCGGGCCGGACGTCGAGTCGCCCGCGTCGCCCCGCGGCGTCGGCCGCACCTCGCCGGCGACGACCGGCGGGTCCCGGGCCGCGGCGTCGCCGGGCGTCATGGACAGGGACCGGCTCAGGGCTTCTAAACCCGCGGACGGCGGCCGCGGCGTCGCGGGCGCCGGGTCGGCCCCGTCGTCGACGGGCGTCGCCCCGGGCACCTCGAGCGGCGCGCGGCGGCCCGCGTCGCTCGAGCTCCGGCCGCGGCCGAGGCGCGGGGCGCTGTTCATGCGCTTCACGGGCGACCCGTGGCGCGAGGGCCGCGAGCTCCGCGCGGACGACGCGCGCTCGAGCGGCACGCCGCGGTCGAGCGCGTCCGCGGCGCGGTCCACGCGGGACCGCAGGCTCTCGAAGGCGCCGAGGGCCTTGAGCGTCGACCGCAGGGACGCGAGGCCGCTCCGGCCCTCGAAGGCGAGGGCCGCCCGCCCCTCGTGGGACAGGGACCGCTCGAGCTCGAGCATCGTCGCCTCCGCCCAGGTGAGCGTCGTCGCGCCGGCGTCGTCCTCGACCGCCCGGGGGGGCGCGTCGACCGCGGCCATGCCGGGAATCCGCGGGGGCGGGGGGGGCGCGGGCCCGGCCCCGCGTCTGATCTGACTCTCGGAGAACGACGGGCTCGGGGTTACACTCCCAAAGCTGTTCAGAGAGCCCACGGAGCGGGCAGCCTTTGCGTTGCGAATTGATGTTTTCATTCGACTCCTTCCAGGCCACAGTTTCTCTCGCCACCCAGAGAGAGAGAGAGACTACCAGACGGACGCGGCGCGATGTCGTTGGCGCGGAACGGCCGCGGGGGCAAGCGCGACCGCGCCGCATTCGAGGCCCTCACACTAGGAGCGATGCTCACATACGACCACAGCACGGGCGCGGGCGACGACACGGTCAACTATTATCGGCCTCACTTCACGGCGAACTGCGATTCTCGGCGCGGACACAGCGGGATGGACGTGTTCGAGAAGGCGCTGGACAGTGCGCGCGTAAATTGGCTCTCGTACGCGCCGGACGGCTCCGACGTGTGGGACAACCCTATCGCGAAGCGGCTGAAAACCGCTGCGGGCCGCGCGCGGGAAGGAGACGTGCCGCGCGGCGCGCCGGGCGCACGTCGCACCTTCGCGACGAAGAAGTCCATGGTAGCGCGGGCCGACGGGCAGACGTGCTTGCAGACGCGGGACTACTGTCGGAATGATGATGGGTTTTTGACGACGTCCTCCAAGCTCGTCGTCGTCGACCTCACGAATATGGGGGACCTCAAGCTCGGCGACGCGCAGTACGAGTTCGTCAAGGACTACGCGACCGCGGCGTGCTCGGCGACGGCCAAGGAGGTCGTCGAGATGAAGCGCACGCAGTCGATCGCGCGGCGCCTGCTCGCGCACGACGTCGCGCGGCGCCGCCGCGCGGCCGCGG